CATCCTCATCCTCATCCTCATCCTCATCCTCATCCTCATCCTCATCCTCATCCTCATCCTCATCCTCATCCTCATCCTCATCTTCATCCTCATGATCATCCTATCCCATCCCCATCCCCATCCCCATCCCCATCCCCATCCCCATCCCCATCCCCATCTATCCTGTCCCATCCCATTCCCATCCTTGTCCCCACCCCATCCCCACCCGTGTCCCAACCCTACCCCTTCCCCATCCCCATCCCATCCCACTGACAGGTGCCAATTTGGAGGCAGCTCTCTGGCAGTTTGGGGATGGATTAATGCATCTTGCCGAGCGGGTGGGAGCCAAATTAAGCTGGTGACACACGGTCAGACGCTGACTCAGCCTTCGTCACGCTCTGGTGCAGCTGCAGCGTGTGGGGCCGTGGGCACCGGGCGTCCCCCGTGGGGTTTGTCAGCCCCAAAGCCTCCACAGCTCCCTGAGTGCTGAGCATCTCTGCAGTGTAGGGGGGGGGGGAGGGGGGAGCACAGCTGTAGACCCTCAGAGTCCCGGTGGGGGTGGGTTCTGTGCCATGCCCCTGTGCTGTGCAACTTCCTTGTGCCGTGTCACATCCCAGTGCTGTGCTGCATCCCGGTGCCATGCCACATCCCATTAACATGCCCTATCCCAGTGCCACGCCACGTCCCCACCGTGGAGGCTGAGGACATGGACCCCCACATCCCGTGCTGTCCCCGTGCCCATGGCTCCTGTATGGTGTTTGTGCTGTGATCACCCCGATAACCCCACGGGCGCTCCCCATTCCTTCCCCATCAATCATTAATGCCGGGCGGGTGCGGGGCAGAGGAGGAGGAGGAGGAGGAGGAGGGCTGGAGGAAGGCTGCGGCTCCCAGCTTGTGGCAGAGGAATTAATTTTACGGTGATGGATGAGAGTGGGAGCAGATAATGCAGCCCCAGGTGGTCATTAAATGCTGCAAATGAGCACAAATCCCATCCCTGGCGCCCCAGGGTCAGAGCGCTTACACCGAGATCACCCAACCGTGCAACGAGGGGAGGCCAGGACCCCCCCCCATGCTCTGCTCCTGAGTCTCCATGGGGTGCACGGGGTCTTCATGGGGCACATGGGAGTCTCTCGGTCTCCACGGAATGCATGGGATCTTCATAGGGTACGTGGGGTCTTCATGGGGCACATGGGGGTCCCTGAGTCTCCATGGGGTGCATGGGATCTTCATGTATCTCACGGGGTTTCTAAGGAGCGTACAGGGGTCCCTGGTTCTCCATGGAATGCATTGGGTTTCCATGGAACACATGGTGGTCCCTGGATCTCTATGGGGTACACGAGGCCTTCACGGGGCACACGGGCTCCCTGTGTCCTCAATGGATACCAGGATCCCTGGATCTCTATGGGGTACACGGGGTCTCCATGGGACACACGGGGTGGGAGCGCAGCCTGGAGCGGTGTGAAGCCCCCAAGCTGTGGCCCACCCTGGCCCCATCCAGATGTGCGGTGCGGCGGGCCAACATCTGGCGGGGCTGTGGCCCTGAACACAGGCTGCTCTGTCTGCTCCCAGCGACCCGCGCCCATGACCAACGCGGATAATCCCCAGCCCTGCCATTCCGTATGAATACGCAGCGAAGCGTTTGCAGCTGCTTCCGTGCTAGGCAGTGATTTCCTACTACAACCCTTTTTTTAAATTTATTTTGCTTTTCCAGGAATATTCCTGCTTCTTTTTCACATGGCTGAGGGACGAAACACCCTGTAAGGATGAGATGAATTTATTCAGTATTTGGCAGATGACAGAACATGGCTTCCAGTTCACAGGTTCTTACCAATGGCACTCCCATCTCCCCACCACGCGCTCCGGGCACCGGTGCCGATTGAGCCACCAAACCCCATGGTGTGCACAAGAAATGAACCCCAAATTTGAAAGGAAAGATGCACACGTGCTGGAACCATGATGGCACAGCTCGCAGCTTGGAGAAAGCGTGGTCTGCAGTGTTCTTCCTGCAGGGGTTAAGGCGGTGATCGTGAAGGCAAGCAGAAGGTTTGCAATGTTCCCAGTTAAGCACAAGCAAGCTGTAGGGTTTGCTTCCCAACATGGATGAGGGTTGGAAAAGCTGAGTCATCGCGTCCAGCTGTCACCCCAGCACCACCATGGCTGCCTACATAGCCACAGGATCATTGTGGTTGGAAAAGACCTCCACCATCACCATGTCCAGCCGCCAACCCATTGCCACCGTGCCTGCTAACCAAATCCCTAAACAGAATCATAGAATTACTCCGGTTGGAAAAGACCTCAAAGGTCACCAAATCCAACCCCAACCCGCCGCACCATGCCCACTGACCCCTATCCCCCAAAGCAAGAAGGGGAGGTCATGCAGTGAGCAACGATACAAAAAAAAGGGTGCCCCGCAGATCCGTGCTTCACGAGCCGTGCACGTGCTGAGTCGGGTTCTCATCACTCCTCTCCCCTCCCTGACAGCTCGCTCACAATATTTACACTTGGCTCAGGCTGTGGCCACCACGTCTGTTTATTTCTGCTCTCCCAAAGGGCTGCAGGTACCCAACGAGCGCTCTCCGTGCCGCACTGGCTGCCGTTGGCTTCGGGCTTTATCGCTCCTTCCCATTCATCACCCCTGATAAATATTTATGGCTGCATTAGGGCACTCAGCTCCTTCCACTAAAAATAACATTCCAGAACACCGAGGGGAAAAAAAAAAAAAACCCCGAAATGGTGTGATTGGAACTGATTGCAATGTTTCCTAAGCACCCAGACGGCGGTGAGCTCCCAGCCTCAGACTACACAACTCTGCTCTTTCTCTTAATTTTAAACAAAACCCAGCTCTCCTCTCAAGAATGAACACAGAGATGCTGATGCCAACCCAAGCTACTCATCCCTGAATTCCCTGCCTGCAAGGGGACATTTGGTAACAGTTTAAAGAAGAGGCACTGGTCTGGGGTCCTCCCACTGCTCGTTCCTCCCTGACACGCCATCACTTACAGAGGACAACGTAACATCAAACACAACAGCAACCCGACAGCGGAGCGGTGCTTGTAGGTGGGTCTGAACGGTCCACACTCACGAGTCCCCCCTGCTTTACACGCAAAGAGACCCCAATGGTGCAAACCTCATTTTTTGTCATGCACAGCAAAGGGCAGGAGCCAAGAGGAAACAGCCAGCATGAGATGCGATGGCGCCGCTGTTGGGTGGGAAATCCAACAGATTGGAACGCATAGCGGGAGCGGGGAGTATTGCCTTTTTCTTGAACCTCCCGCAAATGGCACAGTTCGATGGGGCACTGTCTGATTATCGTTAGTAAACACACTGAGGAAAACAGTACATGCAATGGCCTAAGAGGCAAATGCCCACGGGGAAACCCCTCGGTTGGCTGGGAGAACGCCGGCGCCGGTGGGAGGTCAGCGTCGATCACAGTCGCGCGATGGTGGTGGGTCGGCCGGAACGCGGCTCTCCCAGCGGCGCGGGGACGTCTTCGGTCACGAGCTCACCGAGAGCCCCCTGCGCCTGCACCATAGGAAACAGAGACTGAGCCCACGGCACTGAACCATGGAACCATAGAATCACAGAGTGGTTTGGGTTGGAGGGACCCGAAAGAAGAACACCCACAGAATGGGTTGGTTTGGAAGGGTCCCTAAAGACCATTCAGTTCCATTCTTCGCCCCTTCTGGAGGATAAAGAAGCCCTGAAAAAGTTTCTTGCCTTTATTGTCTCACTTTTCTCCATTTTCTGCTTCTCAGCACCACCTCTGGTGCTTCAGCCCCTGTTCCATGGCAAGGGACAGCCATGTCTCAGCTGCCCCCCATACAGCAAAGTGCAGAGCAGCCATTAGCGTCCAAGGGGCACAAAGGGACTGCCGTGCATAGACAGCACAAAGAGCTCCACACTGCCTACCTCTAATGGCATCATTTCACTCCTTCTTCAGTTACCAGATTGTTTCCCAGTCGAGACAGGACTTGAATTTCTAATGTAAAAACTATCAGAGAAACTCTGAAGCTGCTTTCAGGTTATCTCTATCCATTACTAAAATGGCAGGGAGGCAGAAAGGGCAAAAGCTTTGTTTCTGTGCTTTGCAAATTGCCTTCAGAGCGCAATGGTGCCAGTTTTATCATGCAGAATTGTGTTTTGCAGCACTTGTGCCTAATTCTATTTGGCCAACATGGGCTGGATCCCAACGGACAATGTGAAGGTGGGATTCTTGTTCTGCTCTCTGGATTCTCATCAATGTGCAAGCTTCCAGCACAATGGAATAAGACCCAGGAATGGGATCCCCATCGACCTCTGTGAACCCACATTTGTACCCACGCCGCGTGTTTTGGCTGCAGGATTTGGTTTTAGCCTCCTCCTTCCCACTGCCAGCACTCAGAGATCAGCACTGCGCATCAGGCAAATACTATGCAGAGTGGAAACCCAACCCGGTGCCCTCCTACGTTTTTCAGTGGGGAAGTGATAGGGATCTGCCCCAGGTGCCTCGGAGGCATTGTGAGCGCGAGGCTCAGCCTTTCTCCGCCGACACAGTCTCATGCTCCCCAGCACCTGTTTGTCTGTCCATCTGCTGTGCCTTATTATAACACACAGTGCCGGCTCTTTGAGGGTAGAGATTGTATTTTTAGTACATCTGGATAGCGTCCGTCGCAATAGACTCCGATTTCCTGGCGGAGGCCTTTCAGTGTAAAAGTAATGCTAATAAAAGAAAAGATAACGGCGGTAGTTCTGCTTTCACTGAAGTTAATGATGCTTTCCCACTGTCTGTAGCAGGAGCTGAATTAGGTCATAACTAGGAAAACCCAGCATCCTTTGGAATAGGTGCAGAGTGGCGGGAGGGAAACTCTCCTCGTCTTGTACAGAAGCATAAAAGGAAGGAGAAAGCAGAAGGTTGGCAGAGAAATGTCCAGGCTCACCTGAATTGCTGTACAGCCTGTGGTCGTCCATCTAACCTGCAACACAGGAAGAAGATACATCCATCAAACAGGCAACTGTATTTCCTGTACAATGAATAATCGTTGAATCATAGAATTGAGAAGGTTGGAAAAGACATCCAAGATCATCCAATCCAACCGTCCACCATCACCACCACCATGCCCACTAACCAAAATCACAGAATCATTCAGGTTGGAAAAGATCTCTCAGATCCCCAAGTCCAACCCCAGCCCACCCCACCATGCCCACTGCCCACATCCCTCAGTGCCACATCCCCACGTTCCTTGAGCACCTCCAGGTTTGGTGACCCCACCACCTCCCTGGGCAGCTGTGCCACTGCAGCACTGCTCTTACTGAGAAGAAATTTTCCTAATACCCAACGCAGACCTCTTGTGGTGCTACTTGTCAGAGCCTTTGACACTGTCTCCCACAGCATTCTCCTGCAGAAGCTGGCAGCCAGAGACTTGGATGGGTACACTGTTGGCTGGGTAAGGAGCTGGCTGGAGGGCCGGGCTCAGAGAGTGGTGGTGAATGGAGTCAAATCCAGCTGGCGACCAGTCGTGAGTGGTGTTCCGCAGGGGTCGGTGCTGGGGCCTGTCCTCTTCAATATCTTTATTGATGACCTGGATGAGGGCATCGAGTGCACCCTCAGTAAATTCGCAGATGACACCAAATTGGCTGGAAGTGTGGATCTGCCTGGGGGTAGCGAGGCCCTACAGAGGGATCTGGACAGGCTGGAGAGCTGGGCTGGAGCCAATGGGATGAGTTTCAACAAGGCCAAATGCTGGGTCCTGCACTTCGGCCGCAACAACCCCAGGCGACGCTACAGGCTTGGGGCAGAGTGGCTGGAGGACTGCGTAGAGGAAATGGACCTGGGGGTATTGATTGATGCTCGGCTGCACATGAGCCGACAGTGTGCCCAGGTGGCCAAGAAGGCCAATGGCATCCTGGCTTGCATCAGAAACAGTGTTGCAAGCAGGAGCAGAGAGGTGATTGTTCCCCTATATTCAGCACTCGTGAGGCCGCACCTCGAGTACTGTGTCCAGTTTTGGGCCCCTCACTGCAAGAAAGACATTGAGGCCCTGGAACGTGTTCAAAGGAGGGCAACAAAGCTGGTGAGGGGTCTGGAACACAGGCCATATGAGGAGAGGCTGAAGGAGCTGGGAATGTTCAGCCTGGAGAAGAGGAGGCTCAGGGGAGACCTTATTGCTCTCTATAACTTCCTGAAGGGAGGTTGTAGTGAGCTGGGGGTCGGCCTCTTCTCTCGTGTCATTAGTGATAGGACCAGGGGGAATGGTTTCAAGCTACGGCAGGGGAGATTCAGGCTGGACATGAGGAAGTATTACTTTTCAGAAAGGGTGGTCAGGCACTGCAATGGACTGCCCAGGGAGGTGGTGGAGTCACCGACCCTGGGGGTGTTCAAGGAAAGACTGGATGTTGCGTTGAGGGACATGGTTTAGTAGGAGCTATTGGGAATAGGTGAACGGTTGGACTGGGTGATCTTTTAGGTCTTTTCCAACCTTAGTGATTCTATGATTCTATGATTCTATACTTGAAGCCATTATCTCTTGTCCTAAACCCAACCTCTCCACCTCTCATTGCTCTACTGAGCAGCTCTTCAGCTGCAAACAGCTCTGAAGGCACTGGGGTCAATCTCCAGCCCTCTGGAATACAGGAGAGGAGCCTCAGTTAAACCCCTAAGCACGTTCCACACGGCAACCCAACAAATCCCACAGAGGGACTCTCCACGGCCACCAGCACTTGGAGCCTGGAGGCGCCTCCACCACCTCCTGGGCTGCAGGAGGACTGCGCCTTCATTATCGATCATTCCTTGATTTCTTGGCCGGCTTTTCATCTCGCTATCTCTGCCACGTTAAGTCACTTAATTTCTGGCAGAGAGAATATTTACATTCCACACAATGGCTTTTGGGCCAAGTCCTGCTTTGGGTTATGTCTCCGTTCCCCAGTGCTGCAGTGAGTAATAGGATTCGTCCTACTATGCCTCCACCACACATCCCATCTCCAAACCCCCTTCCCCTTTTTTCCCCAGGCAGGATGCTTGGGAAAAGAAAAAAAAAAAGCAGAAGGGTCATCTGCTAAGCATCTCAGCTATTTAGCTTAAGAGGAATGTTCTAGGGCAGAGAGAGTCCTGTGATTTAGAGCCAACGCCATGCTGCTTTGAAAGCTGAGATCAGACTCGGTGCATTTCTTCACGCATGCTGACAATGCCGAACGCTGATGGACAAACCATCAGGAAGCTGAGCATTCCCAGGCACCTGAAAGCACTGGACTGGAAGACGCAGGAAAACGAGGAATTTTAGTGTGAAACGTGATCCCCTTTGCTTCTTCTCAGCCAGAAGGAAAATATGCATAGAACAACAGCAACAACAAAAAGAAGGATAAAAAGTCCAAGTTTGTCACTGCTGGAATAAGGCTTGGCTCAACGAGACAGAAAAACCTCTAGGGATGGTGGAGATGAAAGGGAGCCATGAGCAGCCCACATGGGATCATCGCCTGTGGGCGATGCTGAGCGCCCGTCCGGACAAGGTCGTATGAGGCGGTGCTGCGCCGCTACCCAGCCCACGTGTGGGGCTGTTGTTTTTGAATGTACTCATCCACAGCACAGCTCCTGCAGCACTTGGAGCAGCTCTTCCTCCTCTTCTTACACAGTAAAAATATCTGTGCGGGGCTTTGTTAAAGAAAAATGTTCCCTAAAGCTGGATGCACGCTGCGGGAACAGCCGTGGTGGCACTCTGACACCAAAAGTCCTCCTTGGGGAATCGGAATGGAGAAAGCAAGCCCACCTCTGGGGACGAGCAGATCCGAAAACGTGCAGCAGGAGGATCAGAACTAGAGAGTCTTCAAAGGTCCCTTCCAGCCCCAACCATCCTATGGCTCTATGATCTTTAAGGTCCCTTCCAACTCATTCTATGGCTCTGTGACCCTTCCAACCCAACCGTTCCATCATTCTGTGATTCACAGCTCAGAGACAGGATTTCTTCCCTTACCTCGATCCTTCCCGTTCTGCATTTTTTCCATTTCTTCTTCATCTTCTTCCTCTGCTTCAGGAAGAAGAAAAACATCGCGCATGGATGAGACATGTACACGAGAGAACTGAGACATACGGGAATCACAAGTTTTAGGCTAAAACCAAATCAAAAAAGTGGAAGTATTTCTATGGAACATGGAAATTGTTTATGGAAAAAGGAAATGGCTTTATGGAAGAAGGAAATGGTTTCATGTTGATCTGAGGTGGAAACCCTGAGGTCCCTTCCTGGAACTGCTGTTTGCCTGCTTGTGCTCTCAGGACCCTGGGGCCAGGCTGTGCCCAAGGCTGGATTTTTGCTCCATACCCATTCCACTGAGCCCTGTTTCAACTGAAGAGGATTTATGACAAAGCTCATATTTATATTGCAGAGCATAGGAACAGAAGGCCACATTCTTCTGTAGATGGTGGCTTGTGTCTGTGTGCAACATCTCCCTGAGCTCTAAGCAAACAGGTGACAGTTGTTACACGCAGCGCTATCACTCCTGCCCACTTCACACGCTGCTGAGTGCAAAGACAGACAGAAAGCTCCACAATAAAGGGCACAATTTGAAGACCTTCAGATCACAGTGGATCATGACCTGCACACTGATATTCGCTTTACTTGCTAAACATTAGCAGGAGGATCAGCAGGAGCACCAGAACCTGTAAAGTCTCAAACCAGAGCCACACAGCATTCTGTGATTCTATTTAGGGACATGGGTTAGTGGGCTTGGTAGTGGATGCGCTGATGGTTGGACTTGATCACCTTGGAAGTCTTCTTCAAGCTCAGTGATTCTATGATTCCATTTAAGGTCATGGTTTGGTGGTATGGTGGAGATAGATTGATGGCTGGGCTTGATGATCTTGGCTTTTCCAACCTTAATGATTCTATGACTATGATTCTATATCATCAAGCAAGGGCATGTAATTAATTTCCTTTTCACTCCCACATGCCACATCTGCTGCCAGCACTGCCATTGCTCAGCAGCTCGTGCCCTGCTCAGGAGATCTGACCTTCAGGAAAGCAGCATTTCCGAGTGGTGCCCAAGCCATGAGGAGCTCCTGCTATTGCACACATACAGATCAATAGCAGCAGGAGCGCAGCAGCTAGGTGTTAGTCTGCTGCTACAATCAGCAGCCAGGCTTCTATCTGCAGAATGTGACCTTAACCATTCTGTTGGTTAAGTGATAAAATCAATGGAAATCCTATTCGGATGGCATTTGGAGTTCTCAGCAAGGCTAGCCATAAAAAATGATTTTTCATTTTATTGTTGAAGAAATGAACGCGTAATCTCGCGTTACGCCTTAAGTAGAATTTTTATAAAAAATAAATCTGAAGACAAATCTCTCTCCTCTTACCTGAGTGCAGCTCCTTCACCAGCGATGACATCGTGTTGGTGATGGAGTCGGCGGCCACCAGCAGGTCGTTGCGCAGGTTCCTCCTTGTACCTGGGAGCAGAGCAAACACGCAGCAGGTAAAGCAGCTGCACACAGCCCTCCTGCCTCATGGATCCTGGCCCCATGGAGCTCAGCCCTGCAGAGCTCAGCTCCACGGAGCTCAGCTCCACCAGGGATCCCTGCTCAGGAGAGCAGTGGTGCTGCACCCAGCTGCATTGGAGGGCCCTGAGAAGAGATCTGGATTTGCTCTGGAATGCTCCCACTCTGCCTGGCTATTGTAAGCAAGCCTATCGTCTGCTTGCTAATTAGCTACTGCATTGCTTTTCTCCTCGATGAGGGCAGCACTCCTACGTCAGCTCAGGGTTTTTCTGCTCAAGATGCTTGAAGTTGAGTGCCTGTCTTGTTCCAGATATTTCCCATCTCATCAATCTCCCAAATGCTGCGATGGCTTCGACTCCTCTGAGCGATTCTACCATTAGCTGTGGTGCTGTGGATCAGCGTGGCCCATGAATACCAACATGGCCTGTGAACGTCTGCATGGCTCACAGATGTTAACACGGCCCATAGATGGATGTCAGCACAACCCATGGACTTCAACACGGCCCATGGATATCAACACACCTCATGGTTGGATGTCAACGCGACCCATGGATGGATGTCAACACCACCCGTGGATATTAACATAAGCCATGGATGTCAGCATGGTCAGCATGTATCTTGGAGGCGGTGAACATTCCATCATCAACACATCCCTGTCCTCTGCCTTGGGCACCAAGTGACCAGCGCTGTGCCCATGGCGTGATGCTCTGGCAGCTACACAAACAAACACCGACTTTAACGAGCTCATCTGGACGCCCACTGCCACTGGAGGCCCTTCTGGCTGGTGGCATTAAATTATTTTATTATGTGAACACACAGAAATTTTATCCTGCTTCCTGCGTTCTCCACTTGCTTAGAATTTGTCTGATTTTACATGATTGATATGAAATAGCACTAATTGTGCAGATTGCCTTCCCGGAAAGATCATTCCCGGAAACTTATTACAGAGCCTGCTGACCATGTTCTCTTGCAAAAGGTTTACCAGCTGTTGGGCTTTATTTTAATGCTGTTTTCTCCCAGTGGCAAAGTGGAAGACCAAGAGGGGACCGCTGAAGGAAATGTATCCCATTAGGGACCATAAGACTTGGTTCTGCAAACATTTCCTGCTGATCTCCCCTCTGACGTGGGGTGGGAGTGATGATGTTGGCAGTCCTGGGTATGGCAATGAGAAAGTGAGCAGGAATGAGACCTTCACCCACTTTTTCTCTTTTCTCTCATTTTATAAGATATGCAAGAGCTCACAGAGATAATTTAAATGCTTTGGTAAAAAAATATATTAAAAAAGTAAAATAAATGGAACCTTTCAGGAGGTTTTGTTCTGAAAGCATTGCCTATGGATAATTTGCTCCTGTGAGCCACAACCACCACCACCACCATACTATTGGGATGTAGGTGCTACCCAAGCCCTTAGCACTACAACAGCCCTATACAATACCTGCCATGCATTGCATAGAGATACTAAGGTGTTAAAAACCCAGATAAAAAGAATCTTTTTCTCTTTGGGCAATATTGACAGGACCTAGTGAAGACTGTGCTCCTCTGAAGCAGGAATGAGCCACGGTTCATTCCATGAGCTTGTCCCAGAGCCAGGAGTTGAAGCCTGCACACTGTGCACAGGGAACATCGCTTCTTCTGTGTCTCCAAATGCAGATGGATAGAAAGCACATTTTGATGCCAAAGCACTACTGTAAAATAAAAAGAATCAAGTAGGGCAGTTACTGTACTACAACAATCTTGTGTTCATTACTCGTAGCTGCAGAAAGGAGATCATTTTGCCTCTTTGTGCTTTCCTCATTAAAAAACCAAAGGGGAAAATGATGAACCAGATACAGCAGATTTTCCCAGTGCCTGGTGGGACTCACAGCACCGCTGCGTGCAGCCTGGAGAATAGAAAGCTGATCTGCAGGGGAAGGACGGGCAGCTGTTGAAGGAGTGGGATGAGGCTCTTGACTCGTTGGGGGGATGAAGAGGAGGCGCCAGGGCCACCCACAGCAGCAGATGGAGCCGTGCCGCTGGTGTTTGGCACCGCGCCTCCTGGAACAAGGCTTCGTCTCTGGAAGCGCTTAGAGAGATCAGAGAATCATAGAATGGTTGGGTTGGAAGGGACCTTAAAGATCAGAGAACCATAGAATGGTTGGCTTGGAAGGGCTCTTTCAGCCCATCCAGTTCCCACTCCCTGCAGTGGGCTGGTTGCCACCGAGCACATCAGGCTGCCCAGGGCCTTGGCAGCTCCAGGGATGGGGCACCCACAGCTTCTCCAAGCTCGTTTCTGCTGGTGGGGTCAGAAAAAGGCATCTCCTTCTCCAAGATGAGTAGTGATGGGTTGGTGGTTGGACTTGATGATTTTAGTGGTCTTTTCCAGTCTTAATGACTTTGTGATTCTATGAGCTCTAGATACTTTGCACTTCCATACTGGACTTCTTCCACCATATGACCTACTCACCAGCTGAAATTTTGGAGAACAACCAACAGAGCCTTTTCCTTTCACCAAGCACTGAGGGCTGAAGGCTTGCAGTCTTCACTTCAGCGTGCCAGGGATTCAACATCCATTAAGGTTGGAAAAGATCACTAAGATCACTAAGACCACCACGAACAGGAGAACATCTGTCTGACAGAATATCTGACATTAATATTCACCACCTCCCCTACTCAGCAAGAAATATGCTCATGAATGACAAAATTCCACCTCCAGATAACGAAAGCATGAGATACAAGTTGTCATCTTTTATGGGACTGAATAGCTTGGCCTCTGGGAGATGTAGAGGGAGCTTGGAGAAGGCAGGACTGAAGAACTAACTCCCTCATTCACTGCAGTGTGATGGCTCCCTAAAGGTAGAAAACCTCTTCTTTGCCAGTCTTCTTGACATCAGACCCAAGTAATGCTTTTACTTGCCTTTTCCCAACATCCTGAGGGTGGAACCTCCATTTTTCTCCCTCTCTCCTCTGCGAGGAAGAGGCAGAGGTCTGGACTGAGTGCACAAGGTTTCTGTTTCATCTGGCTGTCTTCAAATCCTTAAGCACTTCTTGAGCCCCCAGTGACGTTTGCAATGCATGACTGCAGAAGTTTATTTTTTTAAACTAATAGCTGCTCTATATGAACTCACACTACCTACAGAAGCTGGGGAGTATAAATATCTATGTCAAATGCTGCCCTGGTGCTCCTCAAAGCACTCTAAGCTGAATTATTCAGAAAAGGACAGCTAACCCACTTGATCCAACCATTTTGGTTTTACCAAAGGATGGGGGGATGAGGTGTACATGGGGAAATGCAGTTGAAACTACCCAATAACCTCCTACTTCTTGTTGAATCACAGAATTGTTTGAGATGGAAGGGACTTTGAGTTGGAAGATCACCCAGTCCAAATCCCCTGCAATGAGCAGGGACATCTGCAGCTCAGTCATAGAATTATAAAATCACAGAATCCAATCATAGCATCACAGAATCGTTTGAGTTGGAAGGAACCTCTAAAAGTCATCTCATGAACAGGGACCTCTACAGCTCCACGAGGTTGCCCAGATCAGGTTGTGCCCATACAGATTGGCACCATTGAGCTTAGGCCAAAAACTGGTATTTTTTTTTCAAACACAAGCGGTGTAACATCTAGAGAAGGTGCGAAGGAAGTAACAAGGAGCTGTGATCCCAGGCAAGAACTGGAGAAAGGGATCAAGAAAACATTCAGCCCCATAACCAGAGAGTCAGCTAGGTTGGAAAGGACCTCCAAGTCCAGTATTATTTATACAAAGTATGTGTTCTGCTTCTTTGCTATGATCCTCCCTTCTTTCCTTCCCTGTTGGCATTAGTCTGATAGTGACAGGACAAGGAGGGATGGCTTCAAACTGGAGGAGGAAAGACTGAAGCCAGGTGTTAGGGGGAAATTCTTTACCTAGAAGGCAGTGAGGCCCTGGCACAGAGGATCTGTGGACGCCCCATCCCTGCCAGTGCCCAGGGCCAGGCTGGATGGGGCTTTGGGCACCTGGTCAATGGATGTGTCCTCATGGCAATGGCTGGGTTGGGTGGATTTTAAAGTGCCTTCCAACCCAAACCACTCCATTCTAGGACTCTACAATTATCAGATAACTTTCTAGGACGGGAGAACCCTTTAAAATGGAAAGAATAACAACATGCCGCAGTTCCTTTGGTCTGGAGCATAGCAAAGGGCGCCGGGCTGCCCCGTTCCCTGCTCCACGAGATGCTCACCTTGTGTGAAAGCTTCTTGCATGTCCCCGATGTCCTGGGGGCCGTGTGTTGGTGTGGAGCCAGCAGAGGTGGATCTGACGGGCATGGGCAGCGGGCGGCCGGCTCCGTGGGTGGGGGACGAGTGCGCCGAGCCCGCTGCTTGCGCCTGCACGGAGACACAGCGTGCACATCTTACACTTGTTTTGGGTCAGCGTCTACAAATAATGTCGTAAAGCATTGCAACCATGCTCTGCAACCTGCTCTGCACAGAGCTAACCGCTGCTGGACGTGAGGTTAGGAAACCAAAAGCTTAGCTTTGCAGCATCCAGGAAGCAAACAGCAAATGCACGATGAGGGGCTGAGCAAACCCACAAGTGCCATGCAGGAGATTTATTAATACTTGTTGCTAAAAAAAAGGCATTAAAAAAAAAAAAGAAAAGAAGACAACTTTTTCTGGTTGCTCTTTAACTATCCAGAGCTGCCCTCATCATCCCAGTGCTCTGCAATCCTACAACCCAGGCATTCTCTGCAGCAATTTCTATCTCAGCACACTCTACACCTTCTTGCTCAGTTCACGACCAGCTCTGCCATGCTTTGCTAGCCATGATTGACGACCTTAACCTGTATTTATATTCAAGCTGTGCTACCATGGATGAGGGGAAAACTACCCATAAAAAAAAATCACATGAAAGCTGCACAACCCCTGACCAAACTCATTCTGTTTGTGCCATTCTGTTTGCTTCCCTTCCTCCGACCCGTGCATCCCTTGCTCCCTTTGACGTGCACCAGTTACCAGGGCAACCCTGCAACACCGCTGCACTGTGCCCAGCGCTCCGGGCACAAAAACCCGGCAGCGTGCAAAACTGTTGGTTTGAAACTGCACTGATAACACATGGAGTGAAAGAAGCGAGCGAAATATTCTCATGGTGCTGGCAGGGGAGATGGCTGCTGCAGGAGAGCAATGGTCTTGCAAAGATAAAATGGTTTGCAAATGAAACAAATACACAGGAAACATCATCAGCTCCATTGGGCAGATAAAGCCGTGCCTCTGCCCAAGCTGCCCGCCAGCTGCAGGGCCAGCTCCATGCATCTCCACATCTGGCCCGTGGCACTCCCCAGATGTGCGCTCACTGGGACTGCAATCATAGAATGATAGAATTGTTGGGTTGGAAGGGACTTTAAAGATCATAGAACCATAGAATGGTCAGGTTGGAAAGAGCCTCACATCCCCCCAGCCCCACTCCCAGCCATGGGCTGCTTGCTCCCCACTAGCTCAGAGCCTTGAGCAGCTCCATGGAAGGGGCACCCATTGTTCACTGGGCTGCAGCACCTGGGCATCACCTCGGAGTAAAGAATTTCTTCCTTACATCTAACCTAAATCTCTCCTGAAGGACCCCCCCAAGCTCCATGCTCCAGCCCCAGTCCAGCCTCCAGCCCTGGTGACACCTGTATTCTACTGACACGTGCCTTTGAGACACGTCAACCAAATCCGCGTTCTTAGAATAAGCGCCCAAGGAACTGAAATTGTTTTTCTCAATCGCTGGGCACGCAGATGGGCTGTGCCAATTTGCATAGGGCAACAAGTGGAGCAGAGGGGCTGGGAACGTCCCTCACTCTCACAGTGACGCAGTTCCTGGAAATCTGAGTGATTTTGAGAAAAGCTGGTGACGGCGTGCAGCCAACGTGGCATGGAGAGCAGCTTGGGGGCAGCACCGTGCTTCCTGCTGTGCAGCAGCTCCTGTTGATGTGACCTGCAGCACCTGTTGGCCAAAAGAGGATCTGAAAGCTCTGGGGAGCAAATCGCCTTCGTGGGGCAGTGAATCACTGAACTGTGGAATCACTGCGGGTGGAGAAGACCTCTAAGGTCCCCAAGTCCAACCCCAACCCAGCCCACCATGCCCACATCCCTCAGTGCCACATCCCCATGGTTCTGGAACACCTCCAGGTTTGGTGACCCCACCACCTCCCTGGGCAGCTGTGCCACTGCAGCACTGCCCTTCATGAGAATAAATGTTTCCTGATGTCCAACCTGAAATTCTCTAATTCCAGACAAAATAAAAGTATTCTACATATCGATCTCACTCTTTTTGTACTTTATACAGCAAATGTAGTCTCATGCATGCTTGGGTGTTTCCACTCCCGTGGAAGAATTACGTGTGTGGAAAAACGGTGCATGACCTTTAGGCAACATTTGTGATGCATAACCATACAGCAAAGAGAAAGGAGAACATGTGAGCTGTCTGTACGCTGCTGTTGTTTGCTAACCACGAGCATGATTTGGGAAAACCAGAAAGCAGCGATGGGACCGTACAGCTCGGTGTCCTAGAAAGCAGATTATTGACTGAGAAAGCAAGAAAGACATCTGGTGCACGCAGACACACTGCGGAAGCGGAAGGGAAGAGCTGAGGAGTCCCCCCAGCACGGGCGGTCGTAATGTGAACCGCAGGTGCCGGGCTGGGCCCCATAGGAGGAAGCGGTGGGCGGACGCGTGGGCAGGGGACGGGGATGGAGGAGGCACGGACAGATAATGGATGAGCTCAGGAGCTGTTCCCGAGGCGGAATGGGAAAGCAATAAATCACTCCTACAGCCTTCCTCCTCCTCCAAAGGCTGAAGGAAGGAACAGGGCAGGTCGTAAATACTGAGCTGAGGCTGCTCTGAGGTTGTGGAAGTGAACCCAACGCAGGGCGCGCAGCAATGTGTGCACAGGAAGCTCTGGGGTTCGTTGCAGAAGAACTGTGAACGGGCTTTTAAGTTCCTCTCTGATGCTTTTGGGTTACGGGAAGAAGAGTGCAATGTTAAGCATCCTGAAACACTTCTGTACCCGGGATGCAGAAGATGGATTTCCATTGATAAAAACAGACATGGAAAGCCCTGACCCAGCTCCTGAAATGTCTGGGAGCTGACTCGTATGTACTGGCCCCAGTTTATCAAGACCTGCATGCGGCAGCTCTGAGGTTGAACCTGAAAAACCCTAAAAATCTCATGATAAAAACAGCTCTAGGCTTTGCATCAGAACAAGAGGTGTGGGAAGAAGGGACGGTAACATCTCTCACTGAATGGAAAAGGGCCTCTTCCAAACCGCCATATCCATCAGCGCTTCTGCTTCCTGGGGAGCTGGGGTGGATGACCCCAGAAGGACCCACGTTTGTTTGTATGATTCTGTGATCCTACCAAGAAACTGAGAACATTCGCTTTGCAGGGAATTTACGTTGACTTTAATGTGCTTTATCATCTAACATATCCCCGTGAATAGATTAAAATAAAAGAGATCTCGTGTACCTATAAAAAGCTAACATTTCCTTAGAGAAGCGATTTAGACAAGTAAACAACTCATCATGCCCCAAATAGCTAACTCCAGAAAACGCTGCAGAAATGGATCAGAAATGAAAAGAACGTAAATGCGTGGCCTACAACACTCATTTTTTGTTCAGTATCTTCGCTGTAGGAAATTAAGGAAATCAGACAATGTCAAACGGCATCCGAGCAAAAGCAGGAATCTTCATTAGAAAGGGAAATGGGAACAGGCTTTTCATCTGCATATCATGCATGTTCGCTTTCTAACTTGCATTTTCTATAAAAGAGGGGAAATTTAGGATAGATGTTATAGGAAAATTCTTTACGCAGAGGGAGATGAGGCCCTGGCACTGCCCAGAGCTGTGGGTGCCCCATTCCTGGAGGTGCCTGAGGCAGTGGATGAGCCCTGAGCAGCCTGATCTGCTGAGGAGCACCCAGCCCACAGCAGGGGTGGGGCTGGGGGAGTTGTAAGGTCCCTTCCAACCCAACCATTCCACGGCTCTATGATCTTTAAGTCCCTTCCAACCCAACCATTCCACGGCTCTATGATATTTAAGTCCTTTCCAACCCAACCATTCCACGGCTCTATGATATTTAAGTCCTTTCCAACCCAACCATTCCACAGCTCTATGATATTTAAGTCCTTTCCAACCCAATCATTCCACGGCTCTATGATATTTAAGTCCCTTCCAACCCAACCATTCCACGGCTCTATGATCTTTAA